CAATTTATTTCTCATCTTTATTGGTCGCTTTCTTCCTCATTATTTAATATATGACTTATATGGGTTTTTTCTGGGATTTTGCAGTATCTAGGAATGAGACAGGGTTTCACCGTGTTACCCAAGATGGTCTCGATCTCCTGACCTCGTGATCTGCCCGCCTCAGCCTCCCAAAGTGCTGGGATTACAGGCGTGAACCACCGCGTCCAGCCTGCTCTTAGCTTTTACGTAAGATATTTCTAGGCCAGGTGCAGTGGCTCACGCCACTTAGGTGGGAGAATCACTTGAGCCCGAGAGGTGGAGGTTGCAGTGAGCCAAGATCGCACCACTGCACTGCAGCCTGGGCGACAGAGTGAGACTCTGTCCCAATTAAAAAACAAAAACAAAAACAAAAAACTAAACTCAAGAAGAAAGGAAATGATGGAGGAAACAACACAATGCATAAAAGGCTAAAGTGCTGACTAGCATATTCATGTATTACATAAGGTCTAAAGTAAGCTTATTAAAAAGTCATTTATGGGCTGAGCGCAGTGGGTCCTGCCTGTAATTCCAGCACTTTGGGAGATGGAGATGGCAGAATTGCTTGAGCCTGGGAGGCATAGGCTATAGTGAGCCTGGGTGACAGAGTGAGACCCTGTCTCAAAAAAAACCCAAAAAAGTCACTTACGGCTCCAAGTTCAGAAGGGAAAAATACAAACCCTGGAAAGTCTTTAATGCAGCTGACTCAAGTTAAAACTGAATGAACACATCATAAGTTACTTAAAATATGACAAATACAAACAGGCCTTCACTTATTTAATTATTTCATGTAGTAATATGCTGAGTCAGCACAGTTCTGAGTTAAATGAAAGACGCTCATGCTGACTGGAGTTTCACTACTTTACAGCTGAAACAGGATTCTTAGAGATTCTTTGAGAAAGAGTTTGAATTTGGGGATAAAAACCTCACTTCTATTATTCAGAAGTCTTGGAAAGAAAAGATGAAAACAAAAAATGAATTTTTTTAAAAAAACCTTATCTCTGGACATCAAACTTATTATATAATGTTGATAATCCCCATACTATATAAATTTTTTTTTTTTTTGAGATGGAGTCTCGCTCTGTTACCTAGGCTGGAGTGCAGTGGCACAATCTTCGCTCACTGCAACCTCCGCGTCCCTGGTTTGAGTGATTCTCCTGCCTCAGACACATACTATATAAAAGTAAAGACCCACAGAGCTTAAATTTTTTTTTTTTTTCTTTTTTTTTTGAGACAGAGTCTTGCTCTGTCGCCCAGGCTGGAGTGCAGTGGCCAGATCTCAGCTCACTGCAAGCTCCGCCTCCCAGGTTTACGCCATTCTCCTGCCTCAGCCTCCCGAGTAGCTGGGACTACAGGCGCCCGCCACCTCGCCCGGCTAGTTTTTTTTTTGTATTTCTTGATAGAGACGGGGTTTCACTGTGTTAGCCAGGATGGTCTCGATCTCCTGACCTCGTGATCCGCCCGTCTCGGCCTCCCAAAGTGCTGGGATTACAGGCTTGAGCCACCGCGCCCGGCAGAGCTTAAATTTTTAACTGAATCTGGTGTTTTGTTGGCTAAATGTTAGGGTTATAACATTATTTAATAATCACATGCCCGCTGGGGTATTCATTCCTTCCCCCAGTATGAAATCTAACATTGGTGGAGACATCATTAACTAACGCAAACAGACAGCTAAAGACTGTAGTGGTGTAGTATCTCTCAAACTGTGATTATAGTGGCAAGAAAATCCAAAATGTGCACCATTCAACTTTAGCCCTAACCCCTTAACAGACTGACAGCCTACTTGGTATATCCAAAAGATTTAGACCAGGGCAAGTTCCGCCACCAAAACCACCTCTGTTACTGAAAATCTTTTCAGATTTGAGCACTTAAAGCTGTTATTATTTTTTGTAGAGACGGGGTCTTACTATGTTGCCCAGGCTGGTCTCAAACTTCTGGCCTCAAACAATCTGCCCGCCTTGGCCTCCCAAAGGGCTAGGATTACAGCTGTGAGCCACTGCTCCCACCCTTAAAGCAGTAAACTACTCAAGAAGTAGTCCCCTAAGCAGTAAGGTCATTTCTTTATTTTTAATTTTATTTATTTATTTATTTTTGAGATGGAGTCTTGCTCTGTTGCCCAGGCTGGAGTGCACTGACACGATCTCAGCTCACTGCAACCTCCACCCCCTGGGTTCAAGCAATTCTCCTGTCTTGGCCTCCCTAATAGCTGGGATTACAGGCATGCACTACCATGCCCGGCTAATTTTTGTATTTTTGGTGGAGACAAGGTTTCACCATGTTGGCCAGGCTTGTCTCCAATTCCTGAACTCACGTGATCTACCCACCTCGGCCTCCCAAAGTGCTTGGATTACAGGCGTTGAGCCACGGTGCCTGGCCACATCATTTAAATAAAGACTGGTATGGATTTGATTCCTAACTAGGGGATGAGGCACATCCTATTTAACGGAAGGTAGGGGCATTTACATCTGCATCTCACCACCCCTCCTGATGAAGGGTGATGAATTTCTCTTCATTGAGAATCACTGCTACATTAGAAGGACATAATAGGGGAAAAAAGGGCCAGGCATGGTGGCTCATACCTGTGATCCCAGCAGTTTGGGAGGCTGAGGCGTGAGGGACTACTTAAGCTCAGAGTTCATGACAAGCCTGGGCAATATGGCAAGACCCCATAACTACAAGAATTTTTTTTTTAAATTAGCTGGGCATGGTGGCGTGCACCTGTAGTCCCAGCTATCCGGGAGGCTGAGGTCAGAGGATTGTTTCTCAACAAAGGAAGTAAAGGAAGTAAAGGCTACAGTGAGCCATGATCATGCCACTGTACTCCAGCCTGGGTGAAAGAGGGAAACCCTGTCTGGGAAAAAAAAAAAAAAGAAAGAAAGAAACAAAACAAAAAGCCATAGGGGGTATTGTCTCTGTTAGTTAAACTCTGTGTACCAAATTGGGAAAGTTAACAAACAAATTTACTTCAAAACACATGAAGAAAAACTAACAACTGTAACAACCACAAACATAGGAAGGAAGAAGGCAGAAATGTCAGATTTCCTGATGTTACTACAGGCTATGTGGAGGTAAAAAGGTGTGCAGTGAAAATGCATCCTGAGGGCTGGAAAATGTGGCAATTGTAGATTAGTCTCTTTTAAATGCTGACGCACCAGTACGATTTGTAAAGGACAGCAATGCTGGTTAGGGTAGGTTAAGTACCAAGAGTCAACATATGAAAGGATTCCCCTGTTCCCGGGAATTCCTTCAGAGCCTCCAAATGTGCAGTCTCTTCTCTAAGAAGGGAGATGCCAGACACTTTATATGCTTCATGGGATACCTCATTTAATCCTCCCAACAATCTGCTGAGGTGAGCATCATCACACCTCATTTTATAGATGACGAAATTGAACCCCAGAGAGTGAATTGACTTAAGATTTAAACACTTACGTATAGCAATCACAGCGAAGGTCACCAGCAATTGCTTCCAAATTTACATCTGCATCCAGTGGTGGTTTGGTACCATTCTAAGTAAGAGAGAAAAATGATTTTTCATTGAAGTTTTAAAGACCATGCCCGGCGTGGTGGCTCATGCTTGTGATCCCAGCACTTTGGGAGGCCGAGATGGGCGGATCACGAGGTCAGGAGATCGAGACCATCCTGGCTAACACGGTGAAACCCCGTCTCTACTAAAAAAAAAATACAAAAAACTAGCCGGGCGTGGTGGCGGGCGCCTGTAGTCCCAGCTACTCGGGAGGCTGAGGTGTGAGGATTGCTTGAGCTCTGGAGGTGGAGGTTATAGTGAGCAGAGATCACGCCACTGCACTCCAGTCTGGGCGACAGAGTGAGACTGAGTCTCAAAATAAAGATAAAGACCATATTCATCTACATAATAGCTTCTTAATAACGGCTGTTTGACTAAATGAGTATAACTGACTTCCAGACCAGTGCTGTTAAGATTTATACAAATTTCAATGTTGAGAAATGAGGCTAAGAAGCAGATTCCAAACTTGAGAAAGCTAAAGGTAAAAAATTTATGCTCATGAAGTTTGAGGAATTTGTGTACAGTTGCAGCAAATACTAAGCATCAACAAGAATGAAAGCCAGCACCTCGATCTTTCCAAAGGTGAAGAAACACATTTCCTTTCCAGCTTAAATATGGCAAATACTTAAGCAATGCTTAGTGTTGGTGTGAGGCTGGCTAGGACGGGAGAAATAATACTGAACCTGGCCAGGAGAGAAGGAGCAGTATTTGCTCTATAATAAAAGCACAAAGTCCTCTGAGCTCAGTATATTCTTTCTTAATCATTTATCTAACACTCAATCCTGATTTTGGTGCCAATTCCCCTTCAGCTCATTTCAAGAGACATTAGCAATGACAAGTATGTTGCAACTTAGAACTCAGAATTTCTCATGAGACTGGATGTAGAGAAAACAAACCAACCCAGAGTTTTAACACTTAACCCAGTACCTTGCTTGCATACATTATGTTTAATAATATTTTTAGTGACAAACTGCAGAGGCAAACAAAACGAGCTTTGTCTTTCCCCCAGGGTCTTGCTCTGTCGCCCAGGCAGGAGTGCAGTGGAACAACCACAACAGACTTGACCTCCTGGGCACAAGAGATCCTTCTACCTCAGCCTCTGGAGGAGCTGGAACTACATGCCACCATGCCTGGCTAGGCCTGAGCCAAGATCGCACCACTGCACTCCTGAGTAGCTAGGACTACAGGCGCATGCCACCATGCCTGGCTAATTTTTTGTATTTTTAGTAGAAACGGGGTTTGGCCAGGCTGGTCTCAAACTCCTAGCCTCAGGTGATCTGCTCACCTCAGCCTCCCGAAGTGCTGGGATTACAGGTGTGAGCTACCAGGTCTGCTTTTTTTTGGAGATGGGGTCTTGCTATGTTGCCTAGGCTTGTCTCAAACTCCTGGCCTCAAGCAATTCTCCTGCCCCAGCCTCCCCAAATGCTGGGATTACAGACATAAGCCACTGCACCCAATCAAAACAGTTTTTAATTATTTAAAATGTGTGACAGTTAGATGGTAAGCTTATGAGTATTTGCTTATTATTCTGATTCATAACTTACATATACATTGCATATGTTCTTTCCTGTGTAGCAAATATTATATTATTAAATAACTATTTTAAGAAGAAACATTGCCGGGCGCGGCAGCTCGCACCTGTAATCCTAGCACTTTGAGAGGCCGAGGAGGGCGAATCACCTGAGGTCAGGAGTTTGAGACCAGCCTGGCCAACGTGGTGAAACCCTGTCTCTACTAAAACAAAAATTAGCTGGGCATGGTGGCGTGTGCCTGTAATCACAGCTACTCGGAAGGCTGAGACAGGAGAATCACTGGAACCCGGGAGGTGGAGGTTGCAGTGAGCTGAGATCATACCACTGCACTCCAGCCTGGGTGATGGAGACTTGGTCTCAAAAAAAAAAAAAAAAAAAGAAAAGAAGAAACACACACAAAAGTGAATAAACACAAGCCATTAAGCTTTTCTTTTTTTTTTTCTTTGAGACAGAGTCTGGCTCTGTCACCCAGGTTGAAGTGCAGTGGCGCAATCCTGGCTTATTGCAACCTCCACCTCCCGGGCTCAAGCGATCCTCCCACCTCAGCCTCTTGGGTAGCTGGGACTACAGGCACCCACTACCACACCTGGCTAATTTTTGTATTTTTTGTAGAGATGGGGTTTCACGATGTTGCCCAGACTGATCTCAAACTCCTCAGCTCAAGTGATCTGTCCACCTTGGCCTCCCAAAGTGCTGGGATTACAGGTGTGGGCCACAGCACCTGCCCAGTAAGCTTTTCTTAGTGTAAAGCGTCAGCCTGGCAAAGTGCTCCAGGCACAGGGTTCGGTGACCTGGCTGAGAGGACTGGAGTTGCCGGCCTTGTGCACTAGTTACCTGTTGCTCTGCCCACACTCACATACCAGCCTCTTACTGCATCCCTGCAGGGCATATTCAAGAACTGCATAAATTATACATCTGTTAGTTGCTATCACTGAATAAAATGGACATGTTATCTACCACAGGTTCAAGAAACAGTTAATTTCCCATTCAATCCATTTTGACCTGGGACCCAAACTATGATCTTAGGCAAACAACCTTGTGCTTTTTCCTCTGAGTAGTAAAACTAAAGGGTCAGAATGTAGGATTGCTAAGCATCTTTTAGTGTGAACAATTTTCAACTGAGTCAGGATAGTGGTCAATCCTGGGGGCAGGTAGGAGTGGGTAGTGACTGGAAGCAGAAGGGCAGCTTTTGTAGGTGTGGGAATGTTCTATTTTATTGTGGCAAAACATACAAAAAACTGACCATTTCAACCATTTTTCAGTGTACAGGTCAGTGGCATTAAGTCCATCCGCATTGTTGTATCACCCCTATCCAGCTCCAGAACTTTTCTATCTTCCCAAAAGAAAACAATGCATCCATTAAACAGTAACTCCTCATTCCTCCTGCCCCTGCCTCCCAATCCCTGGCAGTCACCATTCTACTTCATAATTCTATGAATTAGACTTGGAGTGTTCTCTTTCTTGATCTAGAGACTTTGTTTGTAACAATTCATGGAGCTGGACATTTACAACTTTTTAATTTTTTTTCTTGACTCTCTAAATCTACTTTACATTTACCACTTTTCTGTAGGTATATCACACTTCAGTAAAAAGAGCTAAAAAGTGGAAATAACACTGGACGAGGAATTGGAAAACCTGAGTTTTAAAGTTCAGATTTGCAACTGAATGGCCTTTATGGAAGTTTGTTAACTTTATTATTTATTTAATATTTTTGATAATAAGAAACCAGTATCTTATCTCCAGATGAGTATATACAATTTTGTGCTATATTTGAGAGGGAAGGGGGGCATCAGTGAACATATAATAGTGATTTCTTAAAATGAAGACTAGCATAGACTTTCTTGCTATGGTGGTGGGCTGCCACATTAGGTAGGAGCCCTTATTAGGTGCTTTCTGTAATTTTAAGAATCTATCAACTTACCTCAACTGTCACACTGTCACATTAGCTGTACGGATCTTCCCTAAGGACACTCCACGTGCTGTTAGACAATCTAATCTCAAACTATCTAGTGTCCTGTTTTAATCAAAAGCTCAATCATAGGAAGACAATTATTTTATACTTCTCAATATCTAAATTCTACCCTTGGATTAAGCCGGACCTCCACGAGGTCCTGTGCACCCTCAGAGTGCATTTCTTGGACCTTCATCAAATTGTGTTTAATGAACTGGCTTTGAGTAATACCCTCAGTTTATATTAAGAAAACAACAAGCCTCAGTCCCAAGAGGCTTATTGTGTTTATGTCAGAAATATTATTAAAGACATTGTGCATCACATCTTAGTGTTCTCTTTGTGAGGACCCAGAGGAATTTTTCTTTTTTGTGTCTCGCTCTGTTGCCAGGCTGGAGTGCAGTGGTGCAATCTCGGTTCACTGCAACCTCTGCCTCCCAGGTTCAAGTGATTCTCCTGCCTCAGCCCCCTGAGTAGCTGAGATTACAGGCATGCGCCACCACACTGGATAATTTTTGTATTTTAGTAGAGATGGGGTTTCACCATATTGGTCAGGCTGGTCTGAAACTCCTGACCTCGTGATCTGCCTGCCTTGTGATCCACCCGCCTCGGCTTCCCAAAGTGCTGGGATTACAGGTGTGAGCCACAGTGCCCAGCAGAGGAGGAATTTTTCTCACATTTGCATAGTGGGAGCAATTGTCAGCTTTCTATTCTTAGCATACCCTTTGTTTAAGAAAAATCTTTTGTGAAAGAAAGCTCAGCATATAAAGGAACACAATAAATAAATGAGGTGGGGTATGAGCTTAAGAAAATGAATTCATTGTTATACATTTAGATACTCTCAGAAGTTTCCTAATTCTTAGAAGATTAAACCTTTAGAAAAATAATTTCAAATACCCTCGAAAGAAAGTAACAAACTGTCCTCCTTTTTTTTTTTTTGAGACGGAGTCTCGCTCTGTCGCCCAGGCTGGAGTGCGGTGGCCGGATCTCAGCTCACTGCAAGCTCCGCCTCCCGAATAGGAATTTCGTTTTAGTTCTTACTATAGTCGGGAAATGATTACATATTTTCAAATGAAAAAGAATAGTTTTAGATTTCCAATGATCCAAAGATTCCTTAGCCCTTTAATTTCTACTACAATTAGACCAAGTAATGTATGCTATAGAAACTTTTGGAGGTATCCCTAGGTAGAGTAACACTCAGCCCTCAAAAAAGGAGAGTTGTTTGGCTGAGCGTGGTGGCATCGTGCCTGTAATCCCAGCCTCTTGGATAGGCCGAGGTGGGTGGGATCACAAAGAATCAAGAGAGACCAGCCTGGCCACATGGTGAAACCATCTCTACTAACATAAAAAACCTTAGGCTGGGCATGGTAGTGCACATCTGTAATCCCAGCTACTTGGTAGGCTGAGGGAGAAGAAAATCTCTTGAACCCTGGAGGGGGAGCTTGCAGTGAGCCGAGATCACTCCATCACACTTTAGCCCCCTGGGCCACAGGGTTGAGAACT